AAGTGATAATAATAGTAGTGTTACACTTGTGTTAGCTGTTGATACTTTAGCAATGACAGTTATTGTAGAGTTAGACTTGAAGAATTTTTAGCTGTTGATACTGCTACAGTGATTTCTTTCAGTTAGAATTGTGGAATTGTTAGCTGGAATTGTTGCAGTGACAGTGATTGTAGAGTTGGACTTGTGGAATTGTTAGCTGTTGATACTATAGCAGTGACAGTGATTGTAGAGTTGGACTTGTGGAATTGTTAGCTGTTGATACTATAGCAGTGACAGTGATTGTAGAGTTGGACTTGTGGAATTGTTAGCTGTCGATACTGTTGCAGTGGCAGTGATTGTAGAGTTGGACTTGTGGCATTGTTGCATGTTGATACTGTAGCAGTGGCAGTGATTGTAGAGTTGGACTTGTGGTATTGTTGCATGTTGATACTGTAGCAGTGACAGTGATTGTAGTGTTATCTTGTGGATAAGTTGCATGTTGATACTGTAGCAGTGACAGTGATTGTAGAGTTGGACTTGTGGAATAGTTGCATGTTGATACTGTAGCAGTGACAGTGATTGTAGTGTTATCTTGTGGAATAGTTGCATGTTGATACTGTAGCAGTGGCAGTGATTGTAGAGTTGGACTTGTGGCATTGTTAGCTGTTGATACCGTAGCAGTGACAGTGATTGTAGTGTTATCTTGTGGAATAGTTGCATGTTGATACCGTAGCAGTGACAGTGATAGTAGTGTTAGACTTGTGGAATAGTTGCATGTTGATACTGTAGCAGTGACAGTGATTGTAGTGTTATCTTGTGGAATAGTTGCATGTTGATACTGTAGCAGTTATAGTGATTGTCGTGTTAGACTTGTGGAATAGTTGCATGTTGATACTGTAGCAGTGGCAATGATTGTAGAGTTGGACTTGTGGCATTGTTAGCTGATGATACCGTAGCAGTGATAATGATTGTAGTGTTATCTTGTGGAAATAGTTGCATGTTGATACTGTAGCAGTGATAGTGATTGTAGAGTTGGACTTGTGGCATTGTTAGCTGTTGATACTGAAGCAGTGGCAGTGATTGTAGAGTTGGACTTGTGGCATTGTTAGCTGTTGATACTGTAGCAGTTGATAATGATTGTAGTGTTATCTTGTGGAATAGTTGCATGTTGATACTGTAGCAGTGATAGTGATTGTAATGTTAGACTTGTGGAATAGTTGCATCTTGATACTGTAGCAGTGATAGTGATTGTAGAGTTGGACTTGTGGCATTGTTAGCTGTTGATACTGAAGCAGTGGCAGTGATTGTAGAGTTGAACTTGTGCAATTGTTAGCTGTCAATAATGTAGCAGTGACAGTGATTGTAATGTTGGACTTGTGCAATTGTTAGCTGTTGATACTGTAGCAGTGGCAGTGATTGTAGAGTTGAACTTGTGCAATTGTTAGCTGTTGATAATGTAGCAGTGACAGTGATTGTAATGTTGGACTGTGGAATAGTTGCATGTTGATACTGAAGCAGTGACAATGATTGTAGAGTTGAACTTGTGGAATTGTTAGCTGTTGATACTGTAGCAGTGGCAGTGATTGTAGAGTTGGACTTGTGGAATAGTTGCATGTTGATACTGAAGCAGTGACCATGATTGTAGAGTTGGACTTGTGGAATTGTTAGCTGTTGATACTGTAGCAGTGGCAGTGATTGTAGAGTTGAACTTGTGGAATTGTTGCATGTTGATACTGTAGCAGTGACAGTGATTGTAGAGTTGAACTTGTGGAATTGTTAGCTGTTGATACTGTAGCAGTGGCAGTGATTGTAGAGTTGGACTTGCGGAATAGTTGCATGTTGATACTGAAGCAGTGACAATGATTGTAGAGTTGGACTTGTGGAATTGTAAGCTGTTGATACTGTAGCAGTGACAGTGATTGTAGAGTTGGACTTGTGCAATTGTTAGCTGTTGATACTGTAGCAGTGGCAGTGACTGTAAAGTTGAACTTGTGGAATTGTTGCATGTTGATACTGTAGCAGTGACAGTGATTGTAGAGTTGGACTTGTGCAATTGTTAGCAAATGCAGTGATTGTAGAGTTGGACTTGTGGAATAGTTGCATGTTGATACAGTTGCAGTGACAGTTATTGTTATTTGTTTTTACATTAGAATTGAAGAACATAATTTCTTCCAGTATCTGTTTTAGTGAATATCTTATGGTTATCAACTAAAACTTCTGTTTATGATCACAACTACACAAAAAATCCATTATTTTAGAAACTGAATGCAATAATAAATATGTAGAAACCTAAATTAGTCTTAGAATCTTATAAACTTTAATATTATTTTCCTTCAAGATGAAAGTATCTGGTTCATATGGTTGAATGTCACTTATTTATCAGGCAAGTTTTAAATGACCATTTACTGCGAAAAAGGTCCAAGTGAATTTTTTTTTAAATTTATATTATTTTCTTTCCAATTCTATATTCAGAATAGTAAGTAATGATTAAACTTATTCTGTATTGAGCATTTCTATCTTAATAGGATGTTTATTTCCTGTTTTCTGTCACTTAGACTTTTTTCGCATTTACCAAATTTCTGATATTTTGACAAATATTGAGTGCGAAAAAAGTCTAAGTACATTTTTACAAATATAATCTTTTTCTTTCATTTTTTTTTTCAAGTAATTTTTTTAAATGTACAATATAACTGATTTTCATTTCAGAGTACACAAATAATAATTATATATATAACCTGAAAAAAAACAGGACAGTTTTTTGTCTCTCCTGAAAAATTTACAAATATGCACTTAGACTTCTTTCGCTTTCACCCCTCGATGTGTTATATCTCCACAATTTTGTCAGAAAATATTACCAAAAACACAAAAATAATCGACGATGCTTTGATTTGTAAACATTTAAGGCACATTATGCCTTAGAAATTCATATATCTCAAATCGTTTAAAATGTCAAATCTGTGTTTAATAATGTTTCAAACCAGGATTTATAGCATGTATAATGTAAAACAACTGAAGAAAGCAGTGTTAAACATGAAAGGTAGCAAAATTTAATGTTAACACATAGGTATTTTTACTTCCATACAACAAACTAATTCACATGCCAACAGAGCTAAAGAAGCAAAAGATAGTTCATCTATACGGCAACTGAGTTTTTTTTTAAAGAAACTGTGGCAATATATTAAAAATAACAAGTTATTAAGAAATAATAAAGATAACATTTCTGAGGCTTAAATGGGCCTTTAACATAACGCACATATTATTAAAATGTGTTCATTGATTTTCGTATGTTAAAATTCTTGTTAAATAAAGTAAGATATCTTTCGCATTTGTATATATGGTTAAGTTTGTCTGCCTCTCAATTCAATAAACGTAGGTTCAAAACTTCCGTGGGTTACGACTATATTTCGTAATAAGAAACCAGTACAGGTCAAATATGATTCAAGCATATTCATACAACCGAGCTTAAACTAAAAACATGCTTTTACAAATGATGTTTCGAAGAGATAAAAGTTTTCTTGTCGTTTATTACAATAAACTGTTCCGCTTTCAAAAAGATCTAACAATACGTTATCACGTCCATCATAATAAGAACAATAAACAAGGAAAGAAACGAAAGAAAGACAATAACAAACATGATCCCAAAAAATGTCTTTCTTTGTCCTGAGCATGAATTTTTTTTTATCAAGTTTTAAGGGAATGTTTTTCGTTTATTTGTTTGTTTGTCTTCTTTGTTTGTTTGTTGTAGTTTTTTTTTTTGTTTTTTTGTTTTTTTTTTTTTTTTTTTTCAAATTTGTGGCTCTGCTTAACTTGTGCAATACAGTAGCTAACAAAATAACTGTTTTTTATCCTTTTTTCCTTTATAACATGTCTGACAAATTCTTTACAATGCAATACCCTATCATACAATACAATACAATGTAATACAAAAATGTACAAGTGCAAGTCTATGCATAGTGAAACAATGCTGCTTTATGAAGTGAAATACGTCCCTTCCTTTTTTCTGAGAGCATAATTTTTTTTAATGCAGCATGTTTCCAGATAAGCGACAATATTTCGCTAAAATCAAACTTGAAGAGTTTATGAAAAGCAGAAAGATTAAAGATTTGCGTAATAATTTGCATGTCATGGTCTATTAAAGGTTACTTTTTCATTATGTGTAACTATATTTCAACCGCGTTACTAACGTAGTAAAGGCATTTTGCATATTTTGAGCTCTTTTTTGTAATTCACATGGGTTAAAAGGGCATTGATAATGGGTAAATAGCTTTCTTTTGGTTAATGTACAATATTATGCTTTTGATTACATTTTCATAATTTTCAGGAAAATAAGCATTAATCTGGAAGCGTGCTGCTTTAATGGGATGTTACACATAGTATCACATTGTTAAAATGTCATCATCACCATCATATGGTGATACAATATGCTTTAATAAAATATTGAATTCTTCTAAAAAGCTGTGTTCGGTGTATATTATAGAATTTATTAACCGAAACCGTCAATGAACGAGTCTTTAACATTTCTAGTTTTACGAGAATCAAGAGATACAATGTAATTTCAGCATTTTAATTGGTTTAAGAAATGTATGTGTATGGAATCATAGCCACAAATATTCACCAAATGCGGCCTTGTAAATTATACACCTTATTATGCGGAGCATTTTTTTATTGAGATATTTTATAAACTGAAAATATTGACAGGCACAATAGCAGAAAGTAAAGATACTGAAACCAGAATGCAACTATTAAGAGCAGACGACACGTCTATATTGTGAAGTGACTGAACATTTTGATGTAGAACAATCCCTTTTGTCTCACATCAAAGTAAAAAAAATTGTATGAAAAAATATGCACGAGTATAATAAATATAGTTTACACGAAAGATACGGTGAATCGCTAAGAATGTCAAATTAATGTCAATATAAATTTGCAATCAAGTCTTTCAAGTTATGAAAGTTTCACAAAAGCTTTTAACATGAAGTCATGAATCAGACATTATATCATAATCATCAACAACAACTCACCCTGTCCAATTCTGTGATTCTGTCACTGCTACAATCATACAAAACACTACAATAATTGTTAAAATTCTTCCATCCATTTTGTCTCCTCTAAACGACTTCCGCCCTCTGATAATTTACCTTATAGGTTTAAGTTTTATATACTGTTTCAAATTTACAAAAGGAAGTTGCGATGTATGTAGGGCTAAACAAACAAAAATAATAATCAGTGCATTATTTTCCTTATTTATCATTCTCTCATCATGTACACCATCTAAAGCTTAACAAAAACTTGCTTTTTCTTTTCTTACATTTTCTAAAAACGTCTTAAAGCTGGTTTATAAATACTGTGTACACAACAATATTTGTTTCAATCACTTTGATCACCTCAGACTAAGAGATAAGTGACACACTTGCCAACGTTCTCTAATGTACATATTAGATTTTCCTTGCACATAATCATACTCGATTTTTATACTGAAGTTTGAAGACTTACCCAATTTTAGCACAAAAATTCCCCCCCCCCCCCCCCCCCCCCCCAAATTTAAGGATATTTTACTGGCAATAATAACGAATATTTCAGAACCAATAAATTGTCTCAGGACAAAAAAAAATTCCTATATTTTAAAAATCATTCACAGCCCACAAATGTGCTCCAATCTTATTAATCAAGCCTTGTTTTCGAGTCCATACTAAACCCGTATCACACGCTATATAGCCTTGTTTTTATTTCAAGCGTCCAAAAGGGTCATATCAGATCTACACCGTACCCATCTATGCTCGTTATATTTTTTTGAGAGTCCAAAAGCTATATCAAATCATTATTCGAATTGAAGTAAGAATTATCTGTCTAAATGTTAAAGAATAGCGAGAGGTCTTTAAAGCAGCACGCCTCCAGACCCATGCAAATTTCATGAAAATTTTGAAAATGTATTTGAATGAGTCACCAAAAGTTAGCAATTTACATATTATCAATGGCACTTACAAACCACAAAAACTACAAAAAAGTGGTCAAAATATACATAAATAGCGTCTACTAGTAACGTAGTCGAAATATAGTTGTAAATACTGAAAATCAGTCAATAATCGAACGTAATATGTAAAATATTAGTTGAATCTTGAAACCTTTTTACTTTACCTTACATCTTCTTACATTTTTCATAAGTTTTATTTTATTGAAATATTTTGACTCATCTGGAGGCATGTAGCTTTAAAAACGATTAAGAACACTACTGAATATAATCATGGATGCAAAAACATATATATAAGACTCGGCTTGTGCCCTTGCAAAAGAATTCAATATTGTACTTAACATTGTTCAATATGCCATAGTATTGTAACTTAATGCTTTCGCGGACGATCAGCTCTGATCATAACGGAGAACAGGCGTCAATTCATAAACACACTATTGTTTTTATAAAATAATGTTATAAAATAGATAGCCAAGATATAACAGTTTTCAAAGTTATAGGCACTTTGTTCTAATTACATGTTGTGGTTTCTAAACAGAATTTATTCCTCTAACTTTTACTCGGATTTTTAAGAAAGAGGGATAACTCGTACAAAAGATTAGATAAGAAAAATTGCTACTTGTTTTTATGGTATGTACGAACGAAAATTTCGGACGCTTGAAAATAATGGATTAAAGACGCTTTTCGGAGTTTTCATATAGACATATAGGCAAACTTAAAACTGTTCAATAGAATTTCTTTGAACTTGGCATGTTATTAGAATATAATAACAGAAACATTTTTAACATGTTTAAGGGAAAAATTTGGGTCACCGTTCTCATTTTCGAGTAATCTGCCCGACATAAGGAATTGCATGTAATTGGCGTCCGCGACGAAGCGCGACGCCCCTTATGGAATGAAATCAGATTTTGTGAAAGGGCTATTGCAACTTCTCGGGCCTTTTCGTCTGTCATAATAGCCGATCATTATGATTGGTATGAGGGTGTTTGATTATCAAAATTGAAATGTCGGGATATGTGCAATGAATAGCGAACTGGAGAATTTCGCGATGAAAATATTTTCAAATAAAATGGTCTTATCCGTCAATTGATCGCGCTCTTCGTTTTTTTTTTAATTAATCATGTGGGTTATTATGTATGTTACCAAAGATCATGATGAACAATGTCTTTTGTCTGCCCATTCATAATTGATATTCAATTCTGGTAAAAACCTATTAACCATTAAAAAGTATTTATAAGAATATCATGTCATCAGATGTCTACTAGTTCATCTTCACTTGCTGCATTTCTTGCTTGGACGCCCTTTGATGCTTTGCATCAATGCTATTCTTGTTATGTCTTGTATTCAACAATAAAAAGAAAAACATTATCCAGAAGTAAAAACAAGAATTCACTTACGTATGTATAAATTATCTGCTCTTTACATGGCCTCAAATAAGTAGAAAATTATAATTCAGGGGCAGATAACTCAAAAACGAGAACGGTGACCCCAATTTTTTTTCGTTAAAAATGGTGCTGTTATCATATACTATCATCACGCCAATTTTAAAGAAATTAAATTTTGCCTATATGTCCATATGAAAACTCCCGAAAACGTCCTTAAAAGCTAAAAGTAGTGTTTTCAAGATCTTCCACGGAAATTGTAAAGTGTCTTATGATAGTTCTTTTGCTGTATATATACGACATAAAAAAGGATGAGTTATGCACAAAACACCATGTGAAAAATGTCAACTTTATTAAAAGATGTTTCAATAAAATTATTACAAAAAAATACAAAATTGAGCGGTACAAAATCAAACATGCATGAATTAAAATAAAAACAAAAAATAAATAAAACTTATTTTTTTTTTCAAATGATATGTTATCAATACATATATGTATAAACAATTGTATCATAGTTTGGGGACCTTTCTGTTGAAAATGTGACAGAGATAAATCGTATACATATACATGCACAGTGAGTTAACTGGAGTGCAGCTATTAGTTACCCGCACTCTAGAGCATCATGCCCATTGATTGGTTCTTTTTGTCCCGGGTTTACATATTGTGACGACGGAGAAAGGGATAGCGATGGAAATATCATATTCAGATGCTCGTTCATTGGCTACTTTTTGTGGGGTTTCATATTGTGGTATCAGGGAACGTGTTTTTATGTTTGACTATGATACAAAAGAGAAAGAACATCAAGACACTCGGCAATATATGATTTTTACTCGGGGACTACGCCCCCTCGTACAAATCATATATCCTCGTGTTTTGATGCTCTTTCTATTACAAATCACATCCAGAAAAAAAGTAATAGCAAGCAAAAATAAAAATAATTAATAAATGTTTTTATAGTAAGCTTTTCTTGCACATTAACAAATTAATACATTTAAGCATACATTCTATTTTATTATTCTACACTTCTTGTAAAACTTAAATCATATGTTTAAGTTTATCACTAAATTTGTCACTAATTTTATAAGAGAAAACAATTCATTGAAAATGGTATTAAATAAAAGGTAAGGTAGTAAGGTAGGTTGGTAGACATGCATGCCGGTAGTGAGTCAGGTTATTGGGCAAGAATGTGTACAGGTGTGTAGGGAGGTAGACAGACGTGTAAGCACAGCATATAGGTAGTCAGGCAGGTAGAAATTTACATAGTTAAGCAAGTAAACAGGCAGGCATGTACATTGTAGGTAGGTAGGAAAGTAGGCAAGAAAAAATGCCAAAAAAAATAGGTATGTAGCGAGGTAGACAGAAAAGTAGGAAGTTAAATAAGCGGGTATATTGTGAGGTAGACAGACAAAGCAAGCAAGTAGGTTGGCGAGTATAGGTAGGTAGTTAAGCAAGAAGGCATTAAGTTGTTAGGCAGGTGAACAGGTAGGCATTTAGATATAATAAAAAAAATAGATTTACAGTAATAAATAAGGATGTAGGTAGGTGGGTAGTATTTATATCTGTTAAAATAAACATAGTTTATATAATTAAAAGATGCAAGACATGCACATCAGTCAAAACAGACTTAATTAAATTGTCAAGGAATCAAATTATACATGTATGCACATATAAAAAATAAAAATATGACATGTGCACTGAGCAAAGTTAAACAAAATAGGGCTCTTGTATCAATCCATCACAGAAGACAGTTCTAAATTCATAAGTGCCCAATGTTCCAACCGATAAACACATCTTAAGAATAGCATACATTCTTTTTTTTCTTTTTTTTGTCAAGGAACGGCGAAAATCATTTTGACTTGGTTAATGTTATATAACATGTAGTTTGAATTCTTACGGAATGCTTCATGAAAACGATTTGGTAAAAGTCCGAATATCAATTGCTTGTAATTTTCCAATAAATTCCAACTAAGATATCGTTTGATATATTACATAATACGGTGAGTTATTCAAAATAATACTTAATACTCCATTATACTAAACAAAGAAGACAAAAAATGTTGATAAAAGTGAAATTTCGGAGATTTTTTGGGAGTCTCTGTCGTCGTTTTTTTTTTTTTTTTGCTTTGTTTCTTCTTTAAAATTACACTGTCACAAAATCTATATAAATAAATGTAACTGCGCAGTAATCCTGTTAAAATTGAGATTCATTTTAGATTCTATGTTGTCGGACTCGTGCCTTCACTTGTTCGAACTGTTGTAGATGTAGTTGTTGGTGACACGTACCATTCATTGAAACTCGGGGAGCAGATCACCACACCGGGTATCTCGTTTTTCCGGATAAAACGATAGTCGCTACACCACGAAAGTCGGCAAACTGGTACAGTATTTTCCGTGGAACATGTCAGATTGTCAAATCTATCCTTATTCAAACTAAACACTTTCCGTCCGGGTTTTAAACAGTTGGACTGCTTTGGAAAACTACAGTCTGCTTTCTGAAGATTGAGATAGTCTGCTGCTTTTTCTGAGCAGTTGAATACCGCATATCCCGGCTCTCTAGTATGACATCCTGAAAAAATGAATTCGTTTCCATAGTAACAACGTGGACATTATAAATATCAACGTTTTTCAAATCGTCATACGGTGACTATAAATCAAATTTATCATATTTTAGTTAAACTACATGGTTTTTATTATTGTTATCATTATTATTATTATTATTATTATTATTATTGTTGTTTTTTTTTTTTGTTTTTTTTTGTTTTTTTTCGTTTATAGAAATCAGTAAAAAATTTATATAATTTCTTGATTCGTCGGTTACACACGGTATATATTTCTTACATACTAGATTATCTAATTTAGTATGCACGGAATATATACCGAGGGTATCCGACAAGCACATCTTGATACTTAAGTCTTTTATGTAGAAATCATATCAAATTTAACTTAAGACGACAAGTTTAAAAATATTCATCAAAAATGAAATGAAATATCTAAAGTGCAATCAAATCTGGAACATTTAACGTTATGTTTCTGGTCTACTGTTTAAGACAAAGTTTATCAAATTCATCAATTTATTTCATCAGTATGTTTAGAAAAATAGCAACTGATCTGCTGAATTTCTAACGTTAATATAAACGTTTGAAGATTTCCTCGATTATCAATGAATTTTACAGACCACAGTTCTGCCGCCGCATCGTTCCTTGTCAGGTTGTCAACCAGTTGCTGTTAACTTCTGTACAAGCAAGAGCATAGGTACTGTAGAAAAGATTTCATGATCAGATACAACAAAGGTGACCTTAACCGTCGCGGTCACCCGATTTACAGTACAACAAACTACAAGTTGGTCTGGCTCTATACTGGTGGAAAGGCTAACTAAAAGGTTAAGAATTCAACAGAACAACGAAAAACTAGCATACTTGATTCAACACCACAATTAGGCAAAGTGTATCTTTGTTCCTTTTTCACCACTCTGTTATCTGGGCGCTTCGCTTCCATTTTACAAGCCAGAAATGAGTAACTTTCCACCAAGTTGTCAGGCAAGGAGCCGGAACAGTCTATCATGTAGCCGGCATCGTCAGTAAAATTCCTTTTACATTCTAGATAACCTGCAATGGATATTGAATAGAAAGTAATTTATATCACTTAAACCGTGCACATTTGAAGATATACTGTCAAACCTTTAAATAACCGAAGTAGGTACATGTATTGTGAAAATGAGTTTGGTTTAATTTCTGCGTAATCTTATAATAAGTTAAGGCAAACTTTTGAATGTCATCAAATGAAATATCTTACTATTTAGGTTTTGTACGTTTCCAAATTTATTTTTGTAGATGGTAGTGTGGTAGTTGTTGCAGTCGTTGTGAATGTTGCACGTGATGTCAAACATCGTCTCCAGACAGTTACTGCTGCCCTTTAACTGTCTCTGATTCATCGACGTTACCAGTGTTGATTCTGTACAGGAAGGATACAATCATGTTATCAGTATTAAGTGATTATGAATAATATATACATTCAAACTTGTGTTAAAGACCACCTCCAGATAGGATCATCGTGTCAATAAAGATCACTTTTCGTCAAACCTTCATTATTCAAGCAGAACAAAATTTGCTCCAAATAAAGACCACCTGTCAATAAAGGTCATGTTCCGTTTATCATTTTGATGGCCTTTGTTCACAAGTTAAGCTGTAACGAAATTGGGGAATTGACTGGAATTTGGCACGAACCAAGATGAGTTACGTAAATCTTCAGAAATAAAACATAAAAAATATAATTCAGTCACGAATTAACTGCCCTGTTTTCTCTGTGACTTTCGTTGCAAGAATGCCTTAGTTGAATTTATTTTGGCAGATTGGTACTTCACTCGGAATATTTTGCTGTTCTGAGAAAGTTATGTTAATTAAATATGGCGTCAGTATTCTGGTTATATCAGTTTCTGGGTACTTTGGGTTATTTTTGTACCCCTTAAAATAAAAAAATTTCTTAAAACCCAAAAAATTTAAGGGGAATTTTAGTATTTTAATGTTTTTTTTTACATCGAAATTTTCCCATGTTTTTGTATGTTTATGTTGTATTTTGGGCCAGAGGTATATGTAACAAGAATAAAGCCTTAACTTTTGAACTATAAGGAATTGGTATTTTAATAATCTTACAAAACAAAACAAAAAACAAAAACAAACAAAAAACACAAAATTATTACAAACGTACTTAAATTAAAAAAACTTTCAAATAATTGTCATAAGCATTTACATAATGAAACGTAAAATGGTTCCGATATTATAATGTTATACACTTGATTTTGATTGTCAACTGAATCTCTTTTGTTTTCATTATCTGTTCACGCCAATATAAAAATGAACTGACACTTGTAATACTTTAATATTCGCACATATATTTTCTTAAAATTATGTAGTATAAAACGTTTCACACGGAATACAATGAAAATGATAGCGAATGGCTTAATAATGTACCGAAAGTCGAAGTGAAACAATGGCCGAAAAAGCAAACCTTTCATGGTGAATGTAACGTTCACATGCGCTGTGTCTCTGCCATTACTATCGCGAAATATGACGTCATATGTTCCTGCTGAACTACATTTGGCCATCGAGTCACCTTTTACAAATATTTCATGACGACTCGTTCCGTTTGTACCAACTATGACCTCCATTGTATAATAAATGTCTGTGGAAATCTGTATGAATAAGGTATCTATGTATTGAAATATATGTTTAAACAATAATCAAATAGATGCACACGTTTCACAAGTAAACATACAAGCGTATATTGTAAATTTGTTTACCTAATTTAAAGCCCTGATCCTAAGTAGTTAAAATTGTTTTGGAATATGGGCAGCATGCCATTAATATCGTGCGAAGACAGAAAAAGTATTGACTTAACTGATTCTGTAGAAAACTGGCTGTCACTGACATAAAGCGCTCGATGATTTTGCTAGAATGAACATACAATGCAAATGGTGGTTTGGGCGTCAATGACCGAGTGGTTTAAGTCATTGACTTAAAACTACTTGCCCCCACGGCTTTGGGTTTGAATCCCGAAAGGAACGTTGGATTCTTTCATGTGAGGATGTTATTCAGCTAGCTTACTAAACCTCGATGTTTCTACTCAGATGCCTTTTTGTGCATGAAATAATGCACTGAGTGGCACCTGATGTCTTTCTGCAACAGTAAATTGGAAAGTCTCCATATGACATATACTGGTTGGTGCGACGTAAAATCCAACAAAAAAAAATAATTGATGGTTCCTCGTCCCGACAGACTCTAAATTAAAAAGATCTATTCAATTCATATATGAGCCGCGTCACGACAAAATCAACTTAGTGCGTTTGCGACAAGCATGGATGCAGACCAGCCTGCGCATCATCACAGTCTGATCAGGATCCATGCAGTTCCATGCAGTTCGCTTACCAACCCTATACAAGTAGAGAAACTGATAGCGAACAGCATGGATCCTGAACAAACTGCGCAGGCTGGTCTTGATCCATGCTGGTCACAAACCCATTATGTTGGTTTTGTCGTGACGCGGCTCAATTATATAAGTTCCGAACAGGATGCTCTATGTAGAATTAAGAGAAAAAAAATTGCCAATTTCTGATTAACCTAACAATAGAATTATACAAGTAATCAACAAATTGTGAATTTGAAAATTGTATTAGATAATACAAAGATATAACAATACAAACCCTGCTTTTCGGTATCACGTCAACCCTTACTGATTCCTCAATACGATTTCGGTAGGCGTGATTGGCGTCGAAGATGCACGTGAAATTCAGTT